AGTTATATTAATTAAATTTATTGTCTATTATTCGTTATCTGTTAACCGTCACCTGCTCCTTACTACCGTTATCTACTATCCACTATTTGCTATCTGTTATCCATTGAATTTTAATTGTTATACCAAACAAACCCTAAATTTACTACTTTACAGTGATAATAGGTTTGCCGGGTGTTTACTGTGTGATTTGATTTAGATTTTAATATTTTTTTAAACTAATCCGATTTAATTGGTTAGTATAATTTTCAAACCAATCCAATCCACTATTATATGATAACCAAACCAATCCAACTTAAATTGGATCGATGTGATTCAATTGGATTAATTGGTTTTTAACACTATTAAGTATATAAGATATAATATAAAAAATTTGAACATTAAGTAGAAAACATAACTATAAAATATATTAACATTTAAATCACTAGAAACATAATAAAATGCACAAATTATAAACAAGTTCTTATATTCATTTACAATTATAAAGATTGAAAAGATATGAAAAATTTTCTTGCCTACATCACCAAAGGCACCAAGGATAATCAAAGATAACTCTAAGTTTTAAATACAATGCAAGAAATTTTTAAAGGTTAAAACTAGTTTTTTTTTTCTTAATGCAACAAATGAGTCAATCTCATCTTCCAAACCCGCTTAAAAGCAAATAAAATTTAACATGAATGTCATTAGGAATGATTAGAAGCATTCATAATCAAGTTTTAAAACTCCTCAACCAAATAATATCAAAGAATAGTAGAATATCAAAATTAGTTCTATTATATTGTTTTAAGACTTCTAGAATGATGCTTCTTAAAATTTAGTTAGGAGAATCATAATATTATTTTAAAAATAAATTAAAAATTTAGGATTCTAAAAGTAGTGTCATAGACTAGTTCTAAAGAACAGAGTTATAGGTGAATTAGAAAGTTAGAATTAAAGGTTAAAGTGCATGATTTAGAAAGGAAAATAAATTAGAGAATATGAGAATATTCTATTTTTATTTTTTAAATTAAGTTAATGGAGTTATCATCTTATAAAATAAGAAAAAAATTTAAAATATTACAAAAATATACTATATTATTTAATTAAGTTATCTTGTAATCAGATTTGATTTTGTAATCGAGCGGTTTAAGCAGTTTGAAAATAAAATTACAAACCAAATCAATTATATTGGTTTTAAAATTTTATAATCCAAACCAACCCAATTTTATATTGGTTTGATTTGATTTTTAATTTATTGGATTGAATCAGTTTAAATCAGATTAATCAGATTAGATCGGATATGAACACTCTTAGTTTGGCGTATGGTTCACTCCTTTTGATTATTTCTCATTATGAAGAATTCTGATGCAGCACAACCAATTTCCACAATCCTTAGTGGATCAAATTACCTACTCTGGGTTCAAAGCATGTGTGAAGGGACAAAAATTAGGGCGATATAAGTTAGGTGATATTAAACCTCCAAAGGAAGTTGCTGGTGAGCAGATGAGAAATTTGCGGAACACTTGGAGGACTAGGATAGCAAAACTCATTAGATTATTACTTGGTTACGTAACTCCTCCATTCCTTCCATTCACCTCTAGCTTGGACGGTATCATACAGCTAAGGGGGTATGTGATTTGCTAGCAGCAAGGTATGCTACTTCTGATTTATCTGGAGAGTATCAATCGTGGGAAGAATTACGTAATTTGAAATAGAAACATGGTGAGTCTATCACTAGTTTTTATGTCTAGATGGAACGCTGGCGGTGTTAGAATATTGGTGTTCATACTATATTAGTATGTTTACACTGAAATTGATTATATATAATTAAACTAATTGATTTTATACCTAGAAATATTCTGTTATACAGACTTAATTTATTTTTGGCACTAAAGACCCTGTTTGGTATAGTAATTTATGGGTAATGGTTAGTGATTTTGCTTAAATTGTTAAGTGTTTAATAAACTTGTTTATTTCAAAACTGTTATAACTTAATTGTTTAGTAAAAAATTTTATTTAGCAATTTAGAATTAACAGATAGTAATTAGAGTCTAAACTATTAGCTGATTAAAAAAACTTTTTGTATTAAACTGTTAGTGAATAAAAATTTGTTAATCTTATTAATAAATTTATCCATTCTAATTTTTTAATTTTTTTATGATGATTTTTAATTCATACTTATCTATTTAGTTTCAACTTCATTTTTCTCTTCAATAACATTAAATTATTACTATATTTTTATTTGTTCACATTAATTTATAATAAAAAAAATTACATTAGCTTAATAAATAAATTTACTAATTTGATAAAATGATGAAAACTTTTTTTTTCTTTATTTAAAAATAATATAATTTTTTTATTAAAAATAGAAATAAGTATGTGATTACAATTCTATAATTTATTTTATTTATTTATTTTCTTACTATTATTTTTATAAAATTAATAATTCTAATAATAAAAAAATAAAAAAAAATCAAAATACACTTAATTACTTTTAAACATGTTTTTATTAATCATTTAACATTAAACAATAATTGTTAACCACTATATAATTGAATAGTTACATCAATCAAGATCTATTATCTACTATTCGTCGCTCATTTTTTGTTTTCTGTCACCCATTATTCATCAATTGCCACTCACTACCTACTATCATTATCCATTATCCATTATTTGTTACTTGATATCTGCTGAAGTTTAACTGTTATACTAAATATGGTCTAAACCCTTAGTATCTAAAAATCACATTGGGTCCTTACTAAGCTAAAATCAAGTTGAGTCAAACTCTATAAAACTTTTTTTTTTTTTCACGAAACTCAAATTCAATACTTTGTTTAAGAGGATTTGAGTTACTTCAACTCAAATTAATAGATCATTATTATAGACCTAATTTATTTGCCACTTGTAATTAAGTTCTTCTGGGAATTTTGGATGCAATGCTGCAAGTGGTGGAATGTTTCCTTTGTTTGCCCAAAGTCAATTAATGATTTATGTTTGCAGTTCGTGTTGGACTTATTTTGTAAAATAAGGAGTTGGGATCCCTTATTTATTGTATAGTGCTGTGGGCTATTTGGTTGGAAAGGAACCATATTATGTTTGGAGGGGGTCAGTGGAATGAAGAAAGATTGTTTGAGTTTACGCAGAGATTAAGTCTTTTATTCGGATCAAAGGAAAAACGCAGGGATTAGCTATTTACATTTTAGTGATTGGATTCAGTTTCTTTTTCAATGCTGTGGGAGAAATTGTAGTTGAAACTTGTAGGAGATTTGTGGGAATGTAAAGTTTGATGAAAAGGGTTAAGGTATCTCCTATGTCTAAATAAAAAAAATATATATTTATTTACTGATAAAATTGAAGAAAAATAAACAGAAACAATCAATAGATCAAGAATGAACTCAAAGATATAACTACCTCTAACCTCAGAATATATGAGTCTTTTTCAATTGATGCTGTCGGAGCCAGATGCAGAGTGAGGAGAGAGCGTGCGGAGTGAAGAGAAATATATGCAACGCACCAGTTTTTCTCAGAGGCTGCTAAGTGTCGGAGAATAAACTCGATCTAAAGAGGTATATATAAGCAGAACCCGCTGTTAAGCCCCTTAAACTTCTCCGGTATTTTGGTGTAGTCCCCTAAGATAACTTTTAACCAGATAACCTCCTAAACTGCGCAATGGTAAATTAGCCCCTTGTATGTAACGGCTACCGTTTATCTCCATTAACAAAGCGGATGAGCCAAGCAGGTGCCGTTAGTTTCTCTTGACGTGACTCAAAAAAAAAAAAAGATTAATTTCAGTTAAGTCCATGAACTATTTAAATTTCAATAGTAATTAGTCCTAAACTTTACTAAAAATAAATGCACTCTTTCTCTTGTACTACTAGTTAGAATTATCTGTGATTCAAAACGTGCGCCACGTTTGTGGTCGAACTTAAAAGTCTTAAAGTTGTCCTTTTACTAAAGGTAGTCACGGCAAAGTAGTTAATATCGTACCGGTATGCGTATCGATTTTATTACTGGAACGGTACGTATCGGATACCGAAATTTTTCGCGTA